ACCACGGCTTTCCTCCTCCTTCAGGCTTGCCGAATCAAAGATGACATCGTCTCCTACCTCCAGGGAAGCAAAGGTTATCAGCATGGGGCAACCGCTGCCCGGCAGCTGCTGGAAAACCACATCCAGACCATTACGAGCATCGTTAAAAAGCTCAGCCAGGACATTGAGGTAACACATGCCGAGGAGCCTTTCCCTGGTTCCGTGGTGCAGCTCTAGATCGTGGTCCACTCAGCACTAATATTGGCTTCAGGGGCAGAAAAGTACTCGACATGACTGCTATGTTTTAGTTAAATTCTGGTTTTTCTTGTATAGTGGCACTTGCAGTTACTTGTGAAAACAGAAGGGAGGGAACTAGGGAAAGTAAAGTAAAAAAAAAGAAAGTAAAATGTCATAAAAAGCAGATTAATGAGTTTTGGGGTTGTTTTAATTCAAAGGTTTGGATTCTATTTGCTTTCAGTTTTGTTGACGTGAGGGAGACTGAATTCAAGGGAAATAATGGGTAAGCTGTATTTTCATCTAACGTATAACATCAAGACTCAAAGTTGGGTTTACTTCTTAGTTTTCCTGATGCAGATGTTCTACTACTTTACATAACTTCTGCATGCAAACATAATCAAGTATTGCAGAAACTCTTTGCAAAGCTCACTGCAGACCGGAGTGGAGGTTCAGGTTCACATTTTATTTAAACTGACTGATGGTTCTGTGCTGGAAATGCATGGAATGCCCTTATTCTGGCTAAAGACTTTTGATTATTTGCTGTTATTTGTCAAATTTATATGTGAAATTTACCAACACTGTTTGGCTTTTCTTTTTGGAAAAAGGTGTAAAACACAAAAATATAATGAAACAGACTTCTCCAGAGATTTGATTTGTCCTTTGAAGTGTTAGATGTCTTACAAATGCCACTAAATTCACAATACATTTTGTTTTTCATGTACTTGGAGAAATATTTGATCTTCTATACATTTATCTTAAGAAGTGTGCAGTCACGGCTCACCTGAAATTAATCTGAATTAAAACTAGGGTCTGTGTTCATTTCATACTGATTTTATTTTCAAGATTGTGATACTATAGTGATAAGCAATGCTATAAAACCTCTTGCTTATTTTAGATCATCCAATTCTTCCAACCGTATCCAGATCAAGTATGTACAGGACTGTTTTGCTAGACAAATCCCTAAGATGCTACCAGCATCTAAATCTAATCTTTTCCCTTGTTAATACTCTCCTCTAGGTCCTAATATCAGGTGTATGTTTGCTTTGTGTATTTTGGTTGTGAGGATCTGATAACGGTTGCTGTACCGACAGCACAGAAAACAGCACAGTGAGACCTGTCAATCAAAGCCACTACAGAATTAGTGGAGGTTTGGGGAATTGCTCCTGGCACGCAGCAAATGAGAGTGATTGAGTAATGTCGATTTCTCAAGCATTAAAAAAAAAAAAAAGGATCCGCCAGGAAATGTGACTCATTCATACTCCAAATCTTCCCCAAAGCAGGAAGAACATCCTTCCAAAAAAGCCTGCTTTAGGGAAGATGCTGGCATGCCTGGAATTAAGCTGAGCCTAGTTAACACACCCCTCTGCCAGAACCAGAAAAATGTCCCGGCTGCCGCTGCATCAGGGACATCAAAGCAATTAGTGCCAGGTGGAAAATGACCAGACCCTTGACAAAGACATCCTTCGCGATCCCAGGAGAGGAGGGCAAATCGCAAGAGAAAAACATCGACACTAAAAACCTAGGGGCAGAGGGGAGACATGCCTGGCATCGCCTCTGCCAACAACCAAAAGATAACCACGTCTCAGTTGAGGGGTTGCACACAGACTAAGGGGTCACCATCAGTCACAAGCACCATGTCGTGCACATGGCGCTCTCTTGCCCAGGGGTGCTGAGCTCTGGGATGGGAGCGCTGCCAGGAGCCCAGGGGACTAGCTGGAGAAGAAGAATATTGATTTCCATTAATAAACAGGAGGCTGCTGCTTTCCATCCTAATGAATGAGCATCTCGTGCTGGATTTGCCAGCGAGGGAGCGATGGTCCCATTCTGTGCCTCCGTCTTCGCGGACTTGTGGCATCGGGCGTGTGTTGCCAAATACACTGCCAAAATTGCACTTGAGTTGTGCAGTACATTCAACCCTTTGGGAACATTATTTTCTGATGCAGAACAAAAATAGGGATACCCGGTCCCAGCTCAGTATTTCAGTTATCCATACTCTGTGTGCAGGGCAGCCAGGATTATTCAGCAATAACTGCATAAATGACAGATTGAATTAAATATTACTCCAGAGTTATTGCAGCTTTCCCGGCTCACCTGTGCCCCACTTTTGACGGACGCTGCCTCCTTTTGCTGGAGAGGTGGGACAGCGATGCCGCACGGGCACTCGGTGCTAGGGGTGTTTGCATGTGCCGCTGCACCTTCCCTGCTTGCAGCCGACCGGGAAATGTTTGCCCCGGCCCTGCTTGCGGGGGCACGGCCGCAGGGGAAGAGGGCCTGACACTCTGTCCAGACGCACGAGGTCGGGGCAGCGGCACAACCCTGCTGAAACCCAGCCGGACTGTCCCTGTGCCCTCCCACGGCCCCGGCAGTGGGATGAGCCTCCGTGGCCCATGGGACGGGCAAACCCATCTGCAACAACTTTGCCAAACTTTAAGCATTTGCAGTTGAAATTTTCCTTGATATTTGTCCTTTCCTATTTTTTTTTTTTTAATTCACTCACTGGGAAACATTTCAAATAAAAAGCCAATAAAAGCCAGTCTATTTTTGCACAAACAGGATATTTGCATAGAACAGGGTAAAAGCTGTGCTTTGACCAGGTGAAGCGCTGTGTAGTGCCGAATTACACTGAAATATCAGCCCAGGCCTCTCCTTTCAACCTGAGAAGTAAAATCAGGAGATTTTAGAAATCATTCCCCCCCTCCACTCCGTATCTGTAAAAGGTCACAGTAGCTGCACAAGGGCGTGCTAAAATTAATGCTTGTGACACATTCAGATACCATCAGGATGAGCCACTTCAGAAGAGCCTGCAGGGCGGTTACTCCTTCCATCTTTAGATCAGACTTCTAATACCGTGCAATAAATCAGAAATCAGGCCACATACTGAACAATAAGGGTAAAACAAGACATTGAAGAGCTGCTTATACCGACCCGCATCCATGTTCAGGGCTGGGTGGGTATACCTGTAATGTGCTTTAACAGCAGGTCCACGCCTTCGCTGGAGCCAAAACCTGCCCTGTGCAGGACTGCGCGTGTTAAGGACATGTTTTTATACGTGCCAAATGCGGTGCATTAGCTTGGACATAAGCATTCGTGCATTTGCAGACAGGGCTCGGGGCAGAGATCCTGCGTCCATCTCTGCTCTGCCTTGTCCGCCCGCAAAGCCTTGCTGCGATGCCCTCAGGCTGCTGCAAAACACTCAGCTCAGCTGTCGCCTCCCTCCTAGAAGCACCTGATATCCCCCGTTGAAAGGAGCCTGACTCAAAAAAGACCGTGTGTTATTTATTATGGGCTGCACTGTACTGCAGATGTTTGAGGGGGACAATAAAATTCGTTTCCCAATTTTTGCATTTCCTAATTTTTGCATGCTAGACTTTTTTTAGCACAGTTTTTAAGGAAAAAATGGACATATTATTTATGCAGATACAGCTTTTTGAAAGAAAAATACGCTGTTGCTTTCTCCAAGAAAGAAGAACAAGCTTTTAGAACTGCTGCCATAGATGGTGCTTTGAACCCTATTTTGAAATGAAAAAACCAAAGTAGAAAAACAAAAGTGCATTAATGGTCTTGAATTTACAGGTTTTGGAGAGGCAAATAAGAGCAAGGGATGGTGCCGCCGTCGAAACTAATTTTGCCGTTCAAAGTCTGGACCATAAATACATCCAGGGTCTTGGAGACCTGCGTGGAAGAGTGGCAAGGTAAGGAATGCATAATGGCCCTCATTTTCATCTCTGCTGGTCGATTTGTGCAGAGTACATTCAGAGTGGGCATGAGCGTACTTTGCACTCATTTTATATCTCCATTTTAGTGCCAGATCTGTGCTTCGCACTCTCCATGTTAGAAAAGTTATCAAGCCAGGGAAAAATAACTGTATTTTCCTTTCTCATTCTTCATCACACTCTTAACATTTTAGAAAATCTTTTCTTCTCCGGTCTGGCTAGACTTCAGCTGAAATGGTTATTTCCTCCTACTTAAACTCTTCTGTTGTTTCAATAAAATCTTTACTTCCTCTCTTGGAAAATAGGTCTCGTTGAGCAAACTTGATTTCTTCTTTTGATGAGATTGTAAGTTTCCATTGGTACAAGTAATTGCATGTACGTAACATAGGTGGACTTCTGTGGGACACTTAGTAACACAAAATATTATGATTAAAAGAAAGACAAGGTGAAACTGTGCTATGTAATGTCAAGAGAGCACATGGATTAAGAACTGTCTGAACTGATATATCGGAAAAAGTAATAATTAAGGAAGAAATCTCCCTGAACTGGCATGTTTCTAATGTTGTTTTTTTTTCTCCAGAGGCCAGTCATATGCTTTTTGTATAAAACACTGCTATTGACATTTGTGGATAACGCAAAAATTGGTCAAGTGAGGACAAGGTGGTAATTGAGAATAACCAGAAATATTGGCAATATGGGCTGACGGAGAAAAAATGTATTTTATAAACCCAACGAGAGACTGTTCCACTACTGAGTGCCCCCTGAAAAGTTTGGGTAATACGGCAAGTAAATAACTTACCGTGAGCTTTTACAATGATGCAGCATCAGAAATGCCAGGAGTATGGTCTTAGACAAGAGAAGCAGAGGACCAGTAAATAGGGAGGTTATTTTAGCTCTATGTAGGGCACAGAGATTGATACCAGAATACTGTACCGAGCCCAGAGTCCCCTTTCTGAAATTAAAAACTTTATATGGTGTAAAGAAGAGCCAGGAATGTGATGGTGGGAAGAAGAAAATTTCTGGCTGAGAGAAGTATACATCTATGTATAGCTTATAGAAAAAAATAAATCCAGAGACGTCTTCATTTCCATGTATAACTACTGGGAGAGAAAGGGAAAAAAATCATGGGGTACCGAAGGACTCCAGACTACTGCAGAGAGACCCAAGAATCCAAAACGAGAAGCTGAAGCCAAGGCATCCAAAGTTGGCAGGAAAAAGATGGTTTTTTTTTAACCTTGTGGCTGATTAGCATCGGAACAAAGTAGGAGGCGATCCTGCAAGAGCCTCCGGATGTTTTGCAATTTGGGTCGGCAGACTCTCTAGACGATATGCTTTTAGCGAAGCCATAACATTCGACGGGTGAATTGTCTCGCTTCTCTTTTCCCAGTGTTTTCCTAGGTGTGACGCTTCCCTTCGTCAGCTGCAGTGGGGCTTGCTCCCATCTTCTGTGCTGGAGCATTGGCCTGCAGCAAAGGAAAGAAAAAGCACTTGGGGAAAACAGGAAAACAGGGTAATGGTGGGGGAAAAAAATGACCAGTCCACTTCTACTTGCATAAATAAAAAAAAACCAACCAGGAGAAACAAGAGGTCGAGCACTCGTGGAGGTCCGCAACACTTTTTATGAGTTCCCTCTTCCTCTTCCTTCCTTGCCCATTTTTCAGATGCGCTGGTTGGCCGTTCCCATGGGTAGAAGGGAGGATCCCAAAACACACATACGCAATTGCACATAAAAAACTATCATGAGGGCACCAAAGTCAGCATCATATGATGCTGGAAACTAAGTCCTTAGACCCCATTTATTTTTACGGAGAGAAAAGAAAACAGCAGGTTTTCCAGCTTCGTCCAAACATACCGGTATTGCAGAGCCAGAGCTGCCATTTTAGCAGCATTTTGACAGCAATATTATAATGCAGTTTTATGCAAATGATTGCCATTAAGCTAAAGCATAGTATAGTTTTATGTGATTCATGAATCATCAGCGCTTTCTTGTTTTTCTTGCTGCTGAAGTTCCCCTCTGGAAATGCCAAGCCCTAACAGCGTACCTGCCCCCAGCGTCATGGCTGGGGAGTGAGCCAGAACTGACAGACAGAGGACTGCCATTACAGTGATGATTAATATTTTGATTTTTCACATTTCTTTGACCTTGAGTTTCAGGATTTAAAATTTCTATGTGTATTAAAGAGAGCCCAGCGTGGCTGGAGACAAATGCACGTGTTCGTATAATTTACATCTATTGAATTAATAGAAATCTTCCAAATGCAAACTTGCAATGACAGTTTTCCTCTTGACTGGCAGCCTAACCTTAATCCAAGACTACCTGGGATGAAATGAACCTTAAATGGAGCCACTGCTCTTTCTCACAGCAGATGATTCATCCTCTTGTATTCGTAAAGGATTAATGTGGATTAGCTCTTGTAATTCAAATGGTGTCTATTCTTTTACTCTGTCTTTCCCTGAAAAATAGATGGAGACCTCTTGCCAACTACTGAGGTGGTTGTCCATTAATTCTTAGACCTTCTGACTGTATTTCTACACCGTGTAAACATTTATGTGTTAAATAGCAATGATCTTTAAAAAAACCAGCCTTCAGCATCTCAGCTATAGTGGCATTCCCATTGAATTAACTATATATTTTATTTGTATTTTAACTCTTAATAAGAATTCCTTTGGGCATGGGGATACGTATTAGAGTAATAAGAATTAGGCAATCAACTGTAAAAAAAGCTACACTTCTGATAAATATTAATTCATTCTCTTCAGCCTCACGAACAAAAGAATAATTGAATGCACAAATGGGTGAAAAATGCACTTTACACAGATGGTTACGTTTTACTTATTTTTCTCATGAACTTTTTTGTTGCTCAGAGAAAAAGTCCAATGTAGCACTAGACAATCAAAAGCCCTGGTGTGCACCCGTGAAGTTACTCGACCCTTCAGAAAATACTTCGCCAAGTACAGCAGTCCAATATACATGGTTCCTTCCCTGACTTTGGAGGATAAACCTCCTTGAACATATAGCAGGTAGCTATATTCCTGTCTCTAATTAAAAGCTTTGATATAACCATCAGAGGCTTTTATTTCTTTACATTTTTTTAATTTATATGCAAATCTCGTAGGAGTACGCTTTCTGCACCATTGCCAGTCCGCCTGCATTGCTGCTTGCACGCTCTCCAGCCTCTGTTTTGTATGACTGGAAAACCATGATCTCACCGTAAGCTGCTGAATGTCTTCTATGCGAAATATCAAATTAGAGCAAGATTTGAGCAAGTCCCAAATATTCCCATTCTCTTCGGGACTCAATCTGCCAAAGGGCAATAATGCATTTAACTACTTTGCACACAATAATGGTATTATGTGTAACATCCGAGCAGGCCCGGAGATTTAAGGCACATCAGCAGTGCTGAGGGTCTTTGCAAAGCTCACCTCGTCTGCAGGTCCCCAGGCGCAGCTCTGGGCTGTCAGGCCACACAGTAGTGCAGATGTAGTTCCATTAATCCCACACTGCAAGGCTAGTTCTCGGGCTTTTTGGATCCTATTGTCAAATCCCTATTTTTAAGTATTCTCTGTATAGAATATTCATGTTTCTTTCTCTTGTAACTGAAGTTACGTCTTCTTACTGCTACAGATCCGTTAATCCTCTTCTTTCTCACACCGTACACTTCTTGCAAGGCTTTGTAACTGTTGCCTTGGGGTGGGATTTTCCTGAGGGAGCGGTGAACCCCCGTCCTCTGATCTCTGTTGGAAAGCTGGCCCACGTGCGGGTCCAGTCACCAACCTTGCATCCCAGCTGCAGCCTCGTGTCGTTTGTGCACGTGTACCTCGACATTTCCACCCCAGCCCTGCGGGCGCGAGGAGCCCCTGACACCCCGCAGCGCCGGCTGTGCCCCGGGACCTTCCATCCCCCGGGACCGTGGTGCCCGCGCACCCCCCCCTCGCTGGCTCCCGGCTTCTCTTCCAGGTTTGCAGCCGGAGAAGCTGTGACGGCAGCCAGCTCTGGAACAGCCCCCTCCCTCTCCGGATCCATGTTCACCTTCTCAGCTATTTTGTAGTTGTTTTCCAAATCAATGGTTTCTTTTGATCAAAGTTCTGGCCTTTGTACAAAGCCTCTATTATCTGCAATAACTTTTTTTTAATTTCCTTGATCTACACGCTCTGTAGGTGTATCTCAGTATCTAAGCATCATCAGGAGATGACAAAAAGCTGGTCTATTTAAACTGTCAAAATTTCTCTTTAGATCCTTTATCTGTCAACAGCACCAGCTTTATTTGGTGGTGGTGCTTTGGAGGATAATTTCTCTGGCATTTTAAAACTTATCTGTTTTCTTCTCTCAACTTCTATTCCATTATTTGTATTAAATTGTGCACTACTTTGTGGCCCTAAGGTATTTTTTTCCACACCCTTGTTTTAAGTACTACCTGCCCTGGGGCAGGCGGTTACTCCTGGGGGGCCAACGTGCAGGAGGGGTGCAGAAGGGGAAGTCTATATCTCCTTGCTCATGTTAAGTATATGTATAATGTTATATGTATAATTTCATATACACTAAAGAAGGTCTTCTTCCTTATGTTAAAAAAAAATTATTTTTTATGTATATGTACATATATACATATATGCTATACATACACAATGTGTGTGTGTGTAGATATATGTACACATTAAAGACAGGGGCTGAAGCAGTCATTCATTCTACCTGGAAAGGATAGCTGGTAGAATGCTATTCAATCCCTGGGCTGCTCAATTAATGCTGCCACTCTCACATCATTCATTTGTCCGTTTTAAATGTGACGAGATATTTTGGTGAGTGCAACTGAAAGAGTTTAAATAGCAAACGAGAAATGCTCCTTACAAAACAGCAAGTTTTTTCGCTCTTCCCCAACATCTGCGTCCAGCCGGAGGAGGCTGCAGGCTGGGGTGGTTGTGGCAGCAGCGCGCTGTCTCTCCTGGTAGGCATCCAAAAGCTGGGGGTGCTTGGAGTCCAGATTAGCCTCTCGATTTACATTTCAGATTTACTTTTATTTAGAGAGATTGAAAACTGGGGGGGGGGGGCCTCCCCCCGGGGGGGGCTGGTTGGGG